AGAAAAAGTAGTAAATCACAATATTTTAGATGTTAATTATTAAAAAATAATATTTAACATTTTTAAAAACATAAATCGATGATTAAAAATTACAAAAATAAATTCACCTATATTTTGGCGTGTATTTATAATCGTTATTGGTGACTTTTGAAATCAGTGTTATTGCTGTTGACAAGCGTTTATTGCAATGACAACCACCGAAATCAGTTATAAGTCGTAACGGCCACTTAAAAATGATTCAATTTTTTATAATTCAATAGAATAATCTTTTATGAAATTTTAAATTTTAATTAAAGACTAATTAAGTAATATTATTTTAGTTGTTTAATTTACTTTTCGTTACTCAATTATAATATAAATACAAAAAATACTCCAAGTAAGACAGAATGAAAAGTTTCAGTTAAAATTTTGTAATAGTTAATAAATTATTTTATCTTTGTACTTTTTTGATCTAATAAACCACATATTTATTTGAATAATAATTGTAATAATATTTTATTTTTTTTTTTTTTTACAGAATTTTAGTAATGAAAACAGCGCTGAAGAAAAATATAATGAGTCGCTATGTAAATGTACATCCATAACAAGAGGTGAAGCATTATTAATGACACTGCTGTTAGGAGCTCAGCAATCTTTACCGTGGACAACTATAATAGCAATATTGTCTCTAATCAATACTTTGTTCGGTCATAAAGTAGTTCCAGAGTCAAAGTATCAACTTTTTAAACTATTGCAACTTGACGATAAAATGATTTGCTACCATATGTTTTGTAAGGATTGTTCACTATATATTGGGGCTCAAAATAATTCAAATTCTGAAGACTTGACGTGTCCTAATTGCGGAATTGAGGATAATTCATCAAATATTTCGTTTTTCTTAACTTTAGACATGGAAACGCAACTTAAAACAATATTACAAGATAGTCAAGTACAAGAAGCTCTAATCGACCGTTTCGAAGGAAAAAACCAAAAAAGGGACTTTCATGAGATTGAAAACATTACTGATGGACGAATATACAAGAAATTATCAATTGCAAATAATCCATTATCAGAAAATTTTAATTTAACATACACCTTTAATACAGATGGATGCCAAGCATCAAAATCTTGTAAAATTTCAACCTGGCCAATCTATATCATTATAAATGAATTGCCTCCTAAATTGCAGACGAAACATATGATTATGTGTGGTCTTTGGATACATGAAAAAGAACCAAATATGCAAATATTTTTGAAACCATTCGTTGATCAAGGCAACAAATTATCAGAAAAAGGCTTTGACTGGAAGTTAAGAGATAGAATGATTGTCAGCAAATTCATTCCTATCTGTGCTGTTGTTGACTCAGTAGCGAGATGCAAGCTACTAAATATGAAAAAGTTTAATGGTTCATACGGGTGTACGTTTTGTGAGCATCCGGCAGAAACTGTTGAAGGATATAAAAAGTACACAATGAGTACAACAATTCCTCCAGATCGTACTGATGCATCAATCAAAAGCAAAATGGAACTCACAGGTCACAGTGAATATGTGAAAGATGTGATGGGCGTCTGGGGACCCTCACCACTGATGAATTTAAAATATTTTGATTTAGTTGATGGGATGTCCCCAGACTACATGCAC